GCGAAAAGCAGGGCGCCCCCGAGGGGAGGCGCGGGCAGGCGGAAAGCGAAGCGGTCGGCGCGCGGAGGGGGCGGGGCCGGGCCGGTGTAGGAGGCGGGCGCCTCGCGGTGGCTCCGCCAGCCGTCGGCGCTCCAGCGCACGCTCACGCGCTTCTCGTAGGCCAGGTCCAGCACCCGCGCGCTCCCCGCCACGCCCAGGGGCCCCGCCTCGGCGCGCTCCAGGCAGATGCGCTGCGCCTGCAAACGGGCGGCGAAGCCGGGTTCGCGGGCGGGCTCCAGGGCGGCGCGCGCCTCCTGGGGACGAAAGAGGGAGAGGGAGGACCGAGCCTCGGAGAAGACGGGGCAGAGATCGGGGTGGGGGCAGGGCGAGGGACTAGACCGACCCGAGCCCGACCCCGGGTCCCAGCGGTCAGAGCGCGTCCCAGCGGCAAAAGTAGCCTAGAGCCGCCCACCAAAAGGGGAGCGCCAGCGCCAGCCCGCGCTTGCGGGTGAAGACGGGTATTCCTCGCTAAGTCCACTCCCCCACGCGGACGGCGGGGCTGGGGAGGTCCCGGAGAGGCGAGCCTCTGCAGCCTACCTGAAGGCCGCGGGCGCGGGGCGGACACGGCGCGAAGTGGCGGAGGGCGTCCCTCTGCAGCTGGACATGCACGTGGCGGGGCACCCGGGGCAGCTCTCCCGGGCGGAAGCGGCGCACGGCGGCCAGCTCGAGCCCCAGCGCGTCGGCGAAACGCACTCTCTTGCGGGTGTCGGGGCTGCGGCTCCGGGACGCCCGGGCCCCGCCGCCTCCGGCGGGTGCCGAGCGAGCCCTGCGGCCCCGACTCGAAGCCTGAGCGCGGGATCGGGCCCCGAGGCGCGTCCCGCCCTCTCCTGGCTCCTCCTCCGGCTCCTCCTCCAGGCTGGGCCGCTGGCTGCGGTAGTAGGCTCGCTCCGTTAGCGAGGCGATGAAGCTCAGGTTGCGGGGGATGTCCGTGCGGGGGGGCCGCTCGCGAGACATAGCATCGCTCGCCCCGCAGGGCCCGCCCGCAGCGCCGCTGCGTTACCCTCCCGCCCAATGGCTAAAGCCGCCCGGCCCGATTTAGCCGTCCCTCCTTGCAGGATCCTCTCCCTCCCGTAATTCGACCTCGGTTCCGTGACTACCTTTCCCTCCCTCTGGCCGGCAGCTCCCAGGGCTTTAGACGGTCACCTCCCGTCTTCTGCAAGCTGTCGGCTCTGAGCGTGCGCTCAGCCGCACACCCTCCGGTCTCCCGGCCTTCCCGGCCCCGGACCCCGCCCACAGCCCTCTGACAGGTGGCTCCCCATCTGTCTTCAGTGCCGCTGCTGCAAGCTGCATCAGGGGGCGGGGACTCCACCCTTTCGGTCCTGAGTATGACCACTTTGCCTTTTTTTTTTTTTTATGGCTTCAACCTTGCTGGAAGAGTTACCGCAGAATGTAAAGAGTAACGCTTTCTTTTCTTGCAGGGGAGGTCCAAAACGGGCAGCGTGTGGCTTTTTCTTAAGGGCTTACCGTTTTCGTTTCTAAACCCTCGGCTTCAGGTTTGGGAGCGGTTTGGCGGTGGGTGCAAAGAAGGGAAGGAAGGTCATGAAACTAGGTGGTGTCCCAAATAGAAGCTGAGATGTGCTCACAAGAGTGGGTGGCCCATTGGAAAGAGCTCTGAACTCAGAGTTGTAGAAAGACATAGCTTCTGGTTTCACCTCTGGTGCTATTTAGCTGCGTGACCTTGAGCAAGGCACACCTTCTCTGGACTTAAGAGTTATCATCCTTTAAAAAAGTGGATTAGAGTTCAGATCTCTAACCGGACTGTAAGCCCTTTGATGATAGAGGCTGTATCTGATTCATAGTGAGTTTCATCACAGAGTAGGCCCTCAAATTACTGAATGAATAAGCACACCACTCTCTTGGAGCTGAGACTGTAGGATTCTAGTTCCAATGGGAGATTCCAAAAAGCACAGAGCTGGCATTTTTCTTCATTTTTTCCTGTTAGTGAAAAAAAGCATTTGAAGTTTTGTTTTCTAACTTACCTACTGATCTTATATAGCATTTACAGTATGCTAGGTATGGTTGTAAGAATTTTTAAAACATTAACTCATATACAGCCATCATAGGAGCAGGGAGTATTACTATAGCTATTTTATAGATGAGAAAATCAGTGGAAAGAGGGGCTAGGACTTTTGCCCAGGATTACATAGATAATAATTGGGGAGCTGGGATTAGAATCTCAGCAGTCTGGCTCTAAAGTCCACTTTCTTATCTAATTGGTTATATAAGATTAAAACATTTAATGGTCATAGCTAACATCTTCAGACTACTGAAATATGGGGACTCTTATCCTAGAAATGGAATCTCTAAATTTAAAACAGCAGGAGAGTTTATAAAGTCACCAGTGACTACGCTGGAAATAAACAGAGACATATACTATCTTAACATTGTACAATTCATTCCTGTTTGCATTTTAATTCCAGCCAAGCTACTGTAATAATCACAGCAATGCTATTTAGCCAAGACTAATTTTTAAAGTGATACTGACTTTTCTTTTCTTATACATATGTATATAAATCCATGGACATATTTTTTTATATATCGTGGTGTAAAATAATGTTTCACTAATTTGTTTTACAGTCAACCAGTTTAAAACTGTCTTCCTTGCTCTGGTGAAATATATCATTAACAGAATAATGTTCAAGATTAGCCTATATGGCCTGAGATTTTCTGGTAAAAGCTCTGTTGCATTGTCTACAGTTTGAGCTGCCATTCCTTGGCTCTGTGGTATTAGTCTGAGAAGATACTTGAAATACATATCTTTGAACCCAATATAATTTGTGTTGGTCCAGCAGCTTTGTACTCCTGGCTGCTCAGACTGACACTGAACCTTTATGCCAAATAAGCCTTTGTGTCTTAAATAGCCACTGCAGTTATCTTTAAACATCTGACTAGGTCTGCTCGATAACTGGCCAGAGGCATTGAGTGATTCATTCAGTCAACATTTACTGAGGGTCTATTAGGCAGTGAGGACATAAAAGTGAATACAATTCAGTTCCTGCTCTCAAAGAGCTTATAAATAAATGTGTTGAAGACAGAAATATATTTGGATTCTGAGACTTAAAAATGTTTTATTTCAAGCAAATGTCTTAGAAGAAGTCAGGATTGGAAATGAAGGATTAGATTAGGTTATTCTCAGAAGAAGGAAACAACATTGCTGGTAGCAGCTGGAAAGATCAGCCCAAGAGCAAAGAAAAAGTGAGGTTGGTTGAAAGAATCCTATATAATAAAAGGCTAATATGCAAATCGACCAAACAGCAAAAATGACCAGTTGCTATGATGCGCACTGACCACCAGCGGGCAGACACTCAATGTAGAAGCTGCCCTCTGGTGGTCAGTGCGCTCCCACAGGGGGAGCACTGCTCAGCCAGAAGCCAGGCTCATGGCTGGCAAGTGCAACGGTGGTGGTGGGAGCCTCTCCCACCTCTGCGGCAGCGCTAAGGATGTCCAACAAGCGGGCCTAAGCCAGCATTCGGACATCCCCCCAGGGGCTCCCAGACTGCAAGAGGGTGCAGGCCGGGCTGAGGGGCCCCCCCCCTCCCAAGTGCACGAATTTCATGCACCGGGCCTCTAGTATAGTCATAAAGGAGTGGAATAGGCTGTGTGTTCAGAATGCAGGAGAGAACTGAGTTTGGGCTTGTAAATGGTATGGCTTCAGTTTGGACTTGTAAATGGCATGGTAACACACTGATGACCTGAAGCAAAGAGGGACCCTGAAGCAATACAGTGTTAAGACAAGCTTTCAAGACAGAATTAGATTGAATCCCAGCTTCTCAGTATGTGGCTTTGGGCACATTACTTAACCTCTCCAAGCCTCACTTTCCTCATCCATCGAATGAGGATAAAACAGAATAAGGATTGGTGTGAGGATAAAATATCATGCATGTAAAGAAAGCACTTAGCACCTAAAAAGTCCTCAACATGTGTTAGTTGTTAATATGACTGTTTAAAAAAAGACCTTGTTTGTCCAGTGACTATAGGGGTAGATGGTAATACCAAGGCTTGGATTGAAGGTAGAAGCAAAGGGAACTGGCAGGAAAGGAGAACTGGGTTACCTCTTTATGGCCTTTGGTTGGGGATCTCTCCAAATGGAGCTGAAGGAAGTGCCAGCTGCAAAAGCTGGTGGACCCATCAGGATGCCTGAGAATGCCCTGGTGTGGATCAGCTGTGGTCAAACAGCTTCACAACCTGTGAACTGCCTTGTATAAATGTACTGCCATGTATAATAATAGACATACGTATATATGCACATATATGTAATCTGAAAGGATAAACATTAACCTTAATTGGCAATTTCCACGAAGGGAGGAGGAGCTGTGGGAGGGGAAGAGGGAGATTGAGAAGTTGTATTTTTTTTCTATATACTTCTATGACTTTTTCATAATGAAAATGAGTTTATATGTTGGATAAAAAGAATTAAAAAGAAAACCAATATGCTTACAAAAAAGAAGAAAGGAGATGAAAAGTTACCTGCAGAAATTGCTTTCGATCCAAGTCCTGGCTCCCTGATGCCTGGTTAAAGCCACAGCCTACAACAGAGCACTGGGTTAAAGGTCCTGAAGAAAAGAGGAAGTGAAATGTTTGGTGTCCATGTTGTGTGTGCCAGTTCCACAGGGCAAGGCATGTAGCAGCAGTTCCCACTGGTATGGGAACTTCTTTTCCAGCCACCCACTCCAAGGCCAGGAAAGTTCAACAAGTACATGGAAGATCAGAGATCTTCTGTAAATGCTGAATTTACTCCGAGGTTTGCTGCCGCCCATACAGCTTCTCTGGGCAGCCTCCAGAGACAGGAGCCCAGCCCAGCCCTCAGTGCCCTCTCCGCCCTGCTCTTCTGGGCCGCCAGCAGCCCTCTCTCTACCCGAATTGTGGCCCTTCCCAAGCCTGCGTCCCAGCCCCGCCCCTCTCTCTGGACGCATCTCTGGGCCCCATCATCACCAGGCGCCGGGCCCTCCCTCCCGCCCCCCCCTTTCTCCTCCCTCCTTCCTTCCCTCCCTTCCTCCTACTCTCCCTCCCTCCCAGCTCCTGCACCAGGAAACGGCCTGGATCCCGGCAGCCAGCGGCCTGACCCGTGAGATCCCTAACCTGGCAGGCAGGAGGGATTGGAGACAGGCTGAGGGTTGGGGTGAGGGAGGAGCAGGGCCTTTGGGCTGCTCTGGGGGGAGACCGGAGTAGAGATGGTGTCAGCAGGAAGCCCTTGGCCCTGGGTTTCCCGGGAGGACAGTCATTAAACATGGATTCGGCCACACAGCTGGTAGAGCGTTGGAGGCAGGGGCCTGGTCCTGGGAGCTGCAATCCCAGCCTTTCTCAGCCCAGACCCTAATCCCTGGCCTTCCCCACCTGCCTCTGATATCCCCCTCCCCTTCCCAGGGCTCCACGCAGGCCAGGAGGATGAAAGGCCCCAGCTGGGGGCTCCTTGCCACCAGTGCTGGGTCCTAAGAGCTGCCATCCAGGCTGGGTGAGTGTGCCCTTCCTTCTCTGCCCCTGGCACCCCTTGGTTCCCCCACCTTTCCCTTCGGCCCGTCTCCTCCCCCATCTTGTGCCTCTGCCAGCATCTTCACATCTTACCTCTGGGGAGGTTCTAAGCCTCTTCTCTAGCCAAAAGGTGTGTACTACAGAGCCGGGTTTGTAGGGGTATCATAGAACTGTTGTTGTCTTGTTATGGGTAAAATCTAAAGTAGTTTTAAATTAAATGTACTTGTTTACATTTAATAACAAGTAAATTTAATTTAATTTGTTGTTGCCTCTCCCTGCCTAGTGGTCTCTGAACATTCCCTCCCACCCCCCTTCCTGTCTCATTGGGTTGGCCAAACCTGAAATGCCCCATTCTGTTTCTCTGACTATATATATTCACGCCAGTCTTTTATCCTTGGCCTTTACAGCCGCCCGGATGGCGACCCCAGCCTCGGCCCCAGACACACGGGCTCTGGTGGCAGACTTTGTAGGCTACAAGCTGAGGCAGAAGGGTTATGTTTGTGGAGCGGGTCCCGGAGAGGGCCCAGCAGCTGACCCGCTGCACCAAGCCATGCGGGCAGCTGGAGATGAGTTCGAGACCCGTTTCCGTCGCACCTTCTCTGATCTGGCGGCTCAGCTGCATGTGACCCCGGGCTCAGCCCAGCAACGCTTCACCCAGGTCTCTGATGAACTCTTCCAAGGGGGCCCCAACTGGGGTCGCCTTGTGGCCTTCTTTGTCTTTGGAGCTGCTCTGTGTGCTGAGAGTGTCAACAAGGAGATGGAGCCACTTGTGGGACAAGTACAGGAGTGGATGGTGGCCTACCTGGAGACGCGGCTGGCCGACTGGATCCACAGTAGTGGGGGCTGGGTAAGAAGCTTCTCAGTTGCTGCTCTGCACATCCCTCTGCAAAGCTGGTCTCCAGGAGGGGCGTGGTGGGGGGTGGGGGTGCTCTGGCTGGAGGCTGGGAGGCTGTGCTGGGAATGAATGAGGCATGGGGGCTGAGATGCCCTATTTGGGTGGAATCAGATGCCCTCGCTATGGGCATGACGCAGGATGCTGCACTCCAGGGCTGCCATGTAGTCATCACTGGATGGGCACATGGTCTAAAGCAGAGAACAGAATCCATAGTACCCATGGGAGTGCCAGCAGGCAAATGGCATCCAGACGTCATTTTACACTTGAGTACATGGGCATAGGGGGAGGAATCAGGGATGGGTGGTGGTCAGGCAAGTCTAGTCAAAGGATGCCAGTTCTGAGTAGAATTTTTAAATTTTTTTTTTTTTTTAGCAGAATTTTTGTCCAAGGAAAGGTTGGGATTCACTTGAGGCAGGGAAGGCAGATAAGCCAAGCGCTCATGGGGGATGAGAGGGGATTGCAGTCAGTTAGCTTTGGGCCAGAGTGGGGCTGGGTATGGGGTAGTGCTTGCAGTGAATGGAACTGGAACTCTCCCTCTCCTCTTTTCTCTACTCTTTCCTCTCCTGATATCCCTTTCTCCTTCTTTCTCTCCTACTTCCCTTCTCTCCCACAGGCGGAGTTCACAGCTCTATACGGGGACGGGGCCCTGGAGGAGGCTCGACGCCTGCGGGAGGGGAACTGGGCCTCAGTGAGGACAGTGCTGACGGGGGCCGTGGCACTAGGGGCCTTGGTAACTGTAGGAGCATTTTTTGCTAGCAAGTGAGAAAGTCCAGGGCCAAGTGGGGCTAGGTGTGCTGGGGGACAGGAGAGCAGGAACAGAACAGAGAATGCCCTTGAAAGAAGTGGGGTGAATGGATGGGCATGGAACTAGGATGGGAAGGGGCAGGGTAGTGTGTGAGGGAACTGAGTGTGCCAGGCAGGCAGTTGGAGGAGTGAACTGGAGACTTGGGGGAATGTACTGGGAAAGTCAGGGGGCCAGGAGTTGGAGTCATTCCAGGGGGAGGGGGAGGTGGGAGGGATCATGTCTGTAGGTGTAGGCACAGGAAATGAGCTGGGGCTCAGTTTGCAGCCCTGAGGAAGGCGGACTTGCATAAGGGGCTGGCATCTCCGTTGGATGAGTGGGATTTGGGGAAAACACAGAAGGCACGTCCCTTCGAATGGGAGCTCAGATTCTCAGGTGATAGGGAGAGGTGGCTGTGACAGTGGGCTGCTTGGACATGCGTGTGCATGTGCATGCTGGGCTGCTTGTCTAATCTGGTGGTAGTGGGATTCTTGAAAGAGAAAACATTCCCTCTTGCAGTGGCAAGAACAGGGGCAGTTCTCTGCCCCCCTCTCAATCCGCCCCCCTTACCTTGTCCTGTTGCCCCAGGGCTGAGGGAGAAACACTGTATACAGATGAAGGCTTCGGTCACTTCTCTGCAGAAAGTCGTTAGCAGGGCTTTGGAGAGAAGTGCAGTTCTACAGCTGGCCTTGTTCCTTCATGGTCCCCCTTCCTTGTGCATCATGCACTTGCTGCTGCCTCCTGGGCTCTGACAGAAAGGCGGGGCTGCGGAGCCTGCAGTGGGTAGAGGCTTTGGTAGCTTGACCTGCCTGCCGCCTTCCTCTCCCACTGGGGTACACTGGTGCCTAAAGTGTCCCCTATCTCTGGGACCTTATGTTCCCAAACTTAAACTCTAAATTGGGGCTCTAATTAATTTTCCTTCTGAGTGTAGACGTACACGCTGATCTAGAATACAGTCTGGGTCCTGCACTATGTCTCAGTGAGACTGTTGATGCCTTGAGAGGAACATTCCAGCTCTGAAACCTATGGGTGTGAGGGTGATGTGTACCCCGTGCCTGGCCTGTTCCGTGTGGTGGGCTTTGGTGCTGCTTTATCAAGGGCCAGGTGTATGGGTTCTAGAGTACCTACCATGATCTGGAAGCATTTATATTTTCTTTGAAGCCACGCTACTTGCATGGGTGTTGTCTGTACCTCAGAGTCTGCGAATGTTAACTTTAAAGCTCACAGCCCTCTAGAACAGATTCAGATTATAGCTTTTTCTTTTGAGAAAGAAATGATTTCACTCCAAATGCATGCCCTGAGCCAGACCTCACTGCTGCACTTTCTAAGGTGCTAAAATTGCTGCTCTCCGATGCTGACTTCTCCATACACAGTGCTCTAGAACCCTGCCCTTGATCCTGAGCACTGATCAGCTTAGCTAGACCATGGTTAACTCTTGGAGATTTTTCACTTGGTCCCAGAAGGTGGCAACATAGTTGTACTCACTAGAATGTGGGACCAAATTGGCCTCAGGTGGTTAGCCCAAACTTTTATGCTTGAGAGAGGGCTGCACTTTTTCATGGTATTTATGGGGGAGGTGGTAGGCTGCACGTGCCACTCGGTCTGTCATGAGTATGCGGATGCTAGAAACTCAGAGTGGCTCTGTGGCAGCCGTTGGGGTGGGGGAGGGGGTGGGTCTCTGACTTGCTCAGGACAAACTAGGCCGGTGGTTTTCAAACTGCTTGGCAGAGCCCCGACATTTCCTAGGGGTTGCCTCAGGAGTCCTTGGGGAAGATGAAGGTGAAAGGGGAGGGTGGCACTCTGAGCAGGCTGGGCCACTTGCCCTCAAACAGAACAGCTCTCCTTGTAGTTGTCTTACACGTCGGGGTTCAGGGTAAGATTTTATTTGCATTAAGGGGTTTGCTGCTGAAAAAAAGTTAGAAAACCACTGACTAGACCATCAGCTCCAAATTGGAGCCTGTGCTCCCCCAGATTTGGGGCAGACTTGTTACCCTACCCTCTACTACAGGGTGCCTTTCCATGTTAGCTCTTCTGGGGGGCCTTCAGCAAACAGGGGCAGTGGGGACCATGGTTACTGAGATGCCCTACTCTGAGGCCTTCACACCTGGGTGGAAGGAGAGGCTGTATTCTGAAAGTGTAAGGGGGTTGGTATGGATTCCTAGAAGCATAGCTTGGGTGGGACCACAGTGAGCTGTTTTGAACTATCTTGCCCTTCTTGAGGGGCAATGGAAACCCCAGAGAATCTTCTGTCAGGGAAAAGTAGAGACTCTTCTAGAGCCATAGAGTTCCTTGGGATTAGTTCTTGGCCAGGAAGCCTGAGTATGGCTCCCAATTTTTAAACCCATTCCTTTTTTTTTTTTTTAAATAAGGGAAATAAATCTAATTGCTATTTTTCAGAGATTAAATAGATGAAGAGGGTGTTTCCTTCTCTCCAGAGCCCAAAGGGACAAACAGGGACTGCTTAGGCCAAGGAAGGAGCAGAAGTAGAGCAACTGGGTCCTGCGATTATTAAGCCCACTCCCCACTTATTCTAGGGCATACACTATTTTACTTTTTTAAATCATAAAATGGCAGGAGAAAGATTTGGTTAGTTTAGAAGAAAAGAAAAAGCTCTATAAATATAAATATATATTCCTGTATTTTTATTTAATAATTTATAAATACCAAGTTCGTTTGACTTTTATTTTTGTGTAATATGTAATGGTCGTATTAAAAATAAATAAATAAAGCCCAGAAGTTTAATGAGAAGGACTGATCAGGGTTTGTGACTTCTACACTGTGTAGCCTGGGGTCAGGATGTTTCTTGATCCAATCATCTCGACATGCCCTTTGTTAAAGGCAAGAACTGGAGTAATAGAGATTTTGGAAGTGTTGAATAGGAAATCAGAGTTGTTCCCCTATCCTCCCCCTTGGGTCAAATGCCTAAAGCCAAGAACTCCATCTGTGCCAGCCCAAGCCCTAAGAGGTTGTGTGTATACTAGTATGGTACTTTGGGACGGCACAAAGAAAACCTACCAAATATCTTTGTATGATGGCAGTCAAGTCTCCAGTTGTTCAAACTCTAATAAGAAGTGTGTGATAGTGAGCATTTCTCCCCAATATACCCTGTTGCCTACTTTAGACTTAAAATAAGTCTGGCAAAAATGAAGTTCCTGCTTTCTTTCCCGATCCCTTAAGACATTTGGTTTCGGACATTTTAATGCAAACTGCTAAGTTGGATGGAAACGACAGGAATTAGCCCATCCTCTGTACTTCTAGTCTAGGACCACATCAAAATCATGTCTGACAGGAATAGTGGTCCTAATTTTAAATTACAAGCAGGAATTTTCTAGTCTTTCTAGAATCCAATGCAATAAAATATTTGGGTTTATGTGTTAAAATTGTAGAAAGAAATAGATTGCTTAGAGGCATCCAGGGTTGCATTTCCATTCTCTGTAAAAAAAATATATATATATACAGGGCAAGCCATCTTAAAATCTGAGAGTGGCTTGGTGAACATGGCACCAGGGGAAAGGGGAATTAGATGCTCTTAATAGTTAATACCTTCAGGCTATGATAGCTAGTGCATTTATCTCCACTGCAGTGTTATTGGTTTAATAATTGATTGATTTATATTTGCCAAAAAGCAACATCTTACTAGAATACTCAAAAGATAAAACATGGGAAAATACAGATTTTTAAAATAGGGAAAATTGAAATATTATAATAAAATGAAAGCAAAAGGAAAATTAATGCACAGAAGGCATTCTTTAAGCGGTTTTCCCAAATACTAAAGCGAGGCTGTGAATTCAGTTCTGAGCTTCTTGGCAGCAAAGACAAATTAGAAAACACAATGAGATTCACATTCATCTTAGGATTTGTAAAAGTATATCAGTTCCCAAGATGGGCAAAAAGTTTTGTGGCTCTTCTGAGAAGACACTGAGTGATATCAAGGACACCACAATCTATAATACCTGAGAGCAAATATGCTGAATTTTGCACCACTGTTTCTTATAGAAATGCCAAATGGGGATTCAGTAGGCCCTAAGCTTGTTTAACTAGGTTCATCACAATTTGGCCAAAATATGCTCTATGATGCTACAGTTTAATACTGGGATAAATTTTAGACTAAATGGACAGGTGGATTGTTTACCTTTCAGTTTTCTGTGAATGTTATTTCTCCAAATGGCATTTTTGGTTAAAGTTAAGCAACATTTAATTAAAATTTTAGCAAGTTGATGGACTGTAGATATTCTGTGTTTTTAAGACTAGATCCTTTGAAAACTTTAAAAGCTGCCTTAAATGTGGATAGAGGTGAGATATAAATTACAATATTTTAAAAATCAACCAGAAAACAGTATAATGAAATATTACATAGTTCTTCATTCAGTCATTCATGTAGCAAAACATTCAAACATCTTTTGTGTGTTAAGCATAGTTCTAGGCACTGAAGTAGAGAAGTGAATAAACAAGCACAGATTTCTGCCATCATGTTACTTACATTCTAATAAGAGAAACAAACAACAGATAAATAAATCTAACCATATTCACGAACATAACATTTCATGTTAGGTGACAAATGCTATGAAGAGCCTAGCTGGTTTGGCTCAATGGATAGAGGGTCCGCCTGCAGACTGAAAGGTCCCAGGTTCAGTTCCGGTCAAGGGTACATGCCCGGGTTGTGGGTTCAATCCCCAGTAGGGGGAGTGCAGGAGGCAGCTAACCAATGATTCTCATCATTGATGTTTCTCTCTCCATCTCCCTTCCTCTCTGAAATCAATAAAAATATATCTTTTAAAAATGCTATGAAGAAAAATAATTCATTAGGGCAGGATTGGAAGGTGTACGTATGTATAGATTTCAAATTTAAATAGAGTGGTTAGGAAAGGCCTCATTTCTAAGGTGATGAGTAAAGTCATTAAAAATGAAATTGGAGCCCTAGCTGGTTTGGTTTAGTGGATAGAGTATCAGTCTGTGGACCAAAAGGTCCTGCGTTCGATTCCAGTCAAGGGCACATGTCCGGCTCAATCCCCAGTAGGGGGTGTGCAGGAGGCAGCCAGTCGGTGATTCTCTCATCATTGATCTTCTCTCTCTCTTCCTCTCTGAAATCAATAAAAATATATTTTTTTAAAAAGGAAAAAATAATATATACAGTATGTTCCCAAAAATAAACAAATAAATGTGTGCACACATGCCTCTATATGTACTTTTGTGTTGAAAATTTAAGGAAGGGTATATACCAAAATATCAGTAGTGATTATCTCTGGGTGGTGGATTTTATGGGTGATTTTGTTTTATTCTTTTTGTTGTCAGTATTTTCTGATGTTTTGCAAAAAGATGTTTTTATTGCCAAGCTGGCATGGCTCAGTGGTTGAATGTCAACCTATGAATCAGGAGGTCATGGTTCGATTCCCGGTTAGGACACATGCCTAGGTTGCGGGCTTAATCCCCAGTGGGGGTCCTGCAGGAGGCAGCTGATCAATGATTCTCTCTCATCATTGATGTTTCTCTCTCTCTCCCTTCCTCTCTGAAATCAATAAAAATATATTTTAAAAATACGGGTTTTTTTGCCCTGACTGGTTTGGTTCAGTGGATAGAACATCGGCCTGCGGACTCAAGGGTCCCGGGTTCGATTCCAGTCAAGGGCATGTACCTTGGTTGCAGGCACATCCCCAGTGGGGGGTATGTAGGAGGCAGCTGATCGATGTTTCTAACTCTCTATCCCTCTCCCTTCCTTTCTGTAAAAAATCAATAAAATATATTTTAAAAAAACCTAAAAAACTAAAAAAAAAAATATATATATATATATATATGTTTTTTATTGCATTTATTTATTTATTTATTTATTTATTTATTTATTTTTATTGGTTTTAGAGCAAGAGGAAAGGAGAGGGAGAGAGAGATAGAAACACTGATGCATCAACATATATTGGCTGCCTCCTGCATGCCCCTACCGGGGATCGAGTCTGCAACCCGGGCATGTACCCTGACTGGGACTGCTTGGTGCATGCCTCGACCCTCAACCACAGCCACACAGAGCCAGGCTATTTCCTCATATTTTCTGATATTTTAATAAGGAATACATAATTCTGGTACAGTATATTAAAACAAGTTTTTCAGGTACAAAATTTTTAAAAAGTTAACCAAACAGACTGGAAATTAAGCAGCCCAACAGAGGTTCCTTCTCATTTAAATGGCCACCTCACTTACTAGTATATACAAGGGAAGACCTAGGGATTGAAATAGGTAGGGCCAGATTTTGACTAGAAAGAATTGGAGTCTGGCCCCGCAGGTGTTGCTCAGTGGTTGAGCATCGACCTATGAATCAGGAGACCATGCTTTGATTCTGGGTCAGGGCACATGCTCGGGTTGCAGGCTCTATCCCCAGTAGGGGGTGTGCAGGAGGCCGCTGACCAATGATTCTCTCTAATCACTGATGTTTCTCTCTCCCTCTCCCTCTCCCTCTCTGAAATCAATACGAATATATATATATTCGTATTGAAAATATATGTATTTTTTTTTCTTTTTTAAAAGAAAGAGTCCTAGCTGGTTTGGCTCAGTGGATAGAACATCTGCCTGCAGACTAAAGGCATGTACCTCGGTTGCAGGCTCAATCCCTGGCCCTGACTGGGAGGCAACCAATCAATGTATCTCTCTCACATTGATGTTTCTCTCTGTCTCTCCCCCTCCCTTCCACTCTCTCTAAAATTCAGTGGAAAAATATCCTCCAGTGAGGATTAATAACAAAAAATAAAATATCTTAAAAAAAAAAAAAAAAAAGAGCTCTGGCCGGTTTGGTTCAGTAGATAGAGCATTGGCCTGCGGACTGAGGGGTCCCAGGTTCAATTCTGGTCAGGGGTGCATGCCTGGGTTGCGAGCTGGATCCCCAGTAGGGGGCGGGTAGGAGGCAGCTAGTCAGTGATTCTCTCTCATCACTGATGTTTCCCTCTTTCCCTCTCCCTTCTTCTCTGGAATCAATAAAAAATAACAAGTAACAACAACAACAAAAAAGGAATGAATTGGAGCCTGCTTTAAAATAGAGTAAATGATCAATCTCTAAGGTTCTATATTAACACTGTCCAATATCCTCCTATATAATAAAAGGCTAATATGCAAATCAACTGAATGGCAGAATGACCAGTTGCTATGACAGGCACTGACCACCAGGGGGCAGATGCTCAACGCAGGAGCTGCCCCCTGGTCGTCAGTGTGCTCCCACAGGGGGAGTGCGCTCAGCCAGAAGCCAGGCTCATGGCTGGTGAGCACAGCGGCGGTGGCAGGAGCCTCTCCGGCCTCCGCAGCAGCGCTAAGAATGTCTGACTGATGACTTGGGCCCGCTCCCTGCAGGAACATCCCCCGAGGGCGCAGGCTGGGCTGAGGGATCGCCCCCACGCCAGTGCACAAATTTTGTGCACTGGGCCTCTAGTAAATATACAAGCCACAGATGTCGTTTTACATTTTCCAGTAGCCTCATTTAAAATAAGCCAGTGTGGCTTAGTTGGTTGGAGCATTGTCCTGTGCACTGAAAGGTTGTGGGTTCAATTCCTGGTCAGGGCACATACCTAGGTTGTGGGTTCGATTCCCAATTGGAGTGCATTCAAGAAGGCAACAGATCGATGTTCCTTTGTCACATCAATGTTTCTCTTTCCCTCCGCCTCTCTCTAAAATCAGTAAGTATGTCCTCAGGTGAGGATTAAAAAAACAAACAAAACCCAGTAAAACTAATTTTAATAATATTTTGTTTAACCCAGTATATAAAAACTTAAAATTTCCATCTATAATTAATATTAAACAATTAAGTTATTTTATAGTCTCTTTTTCATACTAAGTCATTGGATTTGGGTGTATATTTGACACTGCCAGCACATCTCATTTTAGACTATTCATTGCTTCATGGGCTCAGTACCCATGTGTGACTATTAGTTCTAGATTATAGAGAATTATTGTAGCCAGTAAAAATTTCAAAGCAGAGCTCTGGCCAGGTAGCTCAGTTGGTTAGAGCATCATCCCATAGTCCAAGGTTGTGGGTTTAATCCCCCATCAGGGCACATACAAGAATCAACCAATGAATGCATAAATAAATGGAACAACAAATAGATTTTCTTTCTCCAAAATCAATCAATAAATAAAATTAAGCAAAAAGTAAATTTCAAAGCAGGAGTCAAAAATGGGCATGAAACTACCAAGAAGCCAAGTATTTATGTTTAGTGAGAAAACTTTTCCCTTCCAGACAAAACTGGAGATATCCTCATTCATTTTACTAATTTAATTCTCCTTTTTGCAATTGCACTGACCATTCACTTCTATTAACACATTTTTCCTTCTTGAGTACATCACTGAGTTTCAGTTTTCCCAAAATTCTTCAGCTCTCTATTGATAGTTTATTACTGAAGGAAAATAATATACATAATGGGTGGATCTCATATTATTACATATACTAACTTTAAAAAAAAATTCTCAGAATCATCTCTTTGATGTTCTTTATACATTAATAACAGGCAAGAAATCAGATTTTACAGAAGATGATTCACTTAGTTACCACTTATTGAGCACACAGGGATAGGGAATGGGTAAATATCAGTAAGATGGCATCCATGCCTTCTAACAGGGAAGTATCTTTACAAGTCACCATTCAAATATCTTTTTTAATATGTTTGAAAAAGTAATCATGCTTATTAGAGTAAGTTTGGAAGTTGGCGTTTTTACAAATTTTAAATAGCCCCCCCCCACACCACCACCACAAAAAAAATAATAATATATGATATTGTGGAAAAATTTTAGAACATAGAAAATTATAAAGAAGATGATCAATCATAATCCTACTACCCGGAAAGAA